AAAGCACTCTGAAAAGCAGTGCAGAAGAAAAAGGGAAGGTGGAGAAGTGTGTGGAGAACATAGCGTTGTGAGCCTGTGGTGTGCCGACCTCATGGCTACGGCCTGGAACTGCCAATTGCCAAAGGTCCAGAGATCTTTCAGAGCCATTTGACATCACACTGGTGTTTGCAGTCATCACAGTGGGAGCATTGCAAGCCGCACAGCTCAGGTCTCTAGTATCTCATTCAACCCGTTAATAAACATTTACCAGCTTCCCACAGGTGCAGGACTAGGCCAGTGGCCAGGATGGCTTTCCTGGTGCTTCATCAAACGATGCTCAAAGCATGGGTATATTTGGGATGGGCATCTTCATCCTCACATCTCTCCCCTCTTTCGGTATTGAGGGAACCTAATGTGGTTTACTTCAAAAAACACCTGGCAGAAATTTGAAATGCAATGACCAAATTATTAAGATTTCTAAAGAAGCAAAAGCGAACCATTCAGAGGCAATATTACTAGCTTCTTCTTCTTTTTTTTTTTAAGGTTTGTGCTTTTTTTTTGGTTTTGGTAGTGTACTGGTGGATTAAATTCAACATACATAGCAGGACAAAAAGGTGAAAGAGTCTCAACTACAAGGTACAATCAGTACAGCAAGATTAAAGGGAAAAAGTTTGCTCTCGTTGTGGGAGCCCACGTGTGACTCCCTTTCCATCCGCAGTCCATTCTGCCTTATAAGTCCTTTGAGTTCAAGCTTGCTTACTCTGTTTTTTCCAGTAAACTTGAGAGCTGTGAGAGACTTCTGATGTAGCCCACGAGAAAGAACACTCTATCTAGTAGACGGTATACTGCTGACGACAAACCTCAGGAACCCCAAGACAGAAAGTGAGGCTGCTTCTCAGCAGCAAGCACATGATGGAGAGGAGGCTGCTCAGGGATGGTCTTGTGGTTAGACTCTGACTGACTGTCTGTGCTGTGCTTTGTTCGGCTCTTCTATAGAAGCACGTTCTGAAATAAACTCTGGGCTGTTTTGACTGCTTCAGCATGACCAGACAGACCTCCTGATTCTATGCTGTCTACTGTTTCCTTTTTCTGACTTTCCTTTGGCCTCGAGGATCCCCCATACAGGAACCGGAGCTGACTTTGTAGGAGTGGACTGCTACATCTAATAGAGTTACTAGGCAACCACACGTTGCTTTAAGAATAGAAAATTACCATGCATAGATACTTAGTCAAAGAATGTTTAGAGATGATACCATGTACTGCCATACCTATGATTAAAGGAAAACAAAGTAGTAAACGTAGAAAATCAACAACTGGAGAAAGGAGAAAAACACTCTTTCCTAGTCCTATCCCGTGGATATGGCCACAGCTTCAGCCAGCCAGCCTTGCCTTTCTACCAGTTGTCCCCCACACGAATAGGAACATTTACAATTGCTAGTCATTTTCTATCCATGGTATTCAATGTCAACTCCCCAGATACTATGCATTCATCCAAATCATGAACCCTAACATGGTCAAAGTGGTCACACAACTGTGTTATATAACTGAGTTAATCAACCCCACCCCCAGTAGCCAGTTTGTCTTTGTTTTGTGCTTTGGCTCTGGAAATAGTGGTCTGACAAGCATAAATCTGGGTCAACTTAGGATATTCACTGACAGGCCCGACACAATTATAAACTTCCTTCACTTAGGTAGCTTTATTTTTTTTAACTGATATAAAAAGTACTTTTTTAGTCATCTAAATTTTATTAGCAAATACTTATTGCTCATAACAGTGGTTTTTAGTATCATATTTTCATACATGCCTGTAGCTGCGGATTTATCATTCCAACCTCTACATGCTGTTTAGATATAAAACTTAGAAATAAATAAGCCATACAGCCCCTGCAATACACACAAACACCACACACACACACACACACAGCCCAGCTCATTACACACACATACACACAAACCAACTCATCAACACACACACCACAACTCATCACACACACACACACTCATACACATGCTCACAGCCCAACTCATCACATACACATACATGCACACAACCCAATTTATGACAAACACACACCACAACTCATCACACACACACATGCACACAACCCAACTCATCATCATCCAGAGAATTTTCTTACACTGAAATAAAGTTTTCATAAAGAAAAAAATTTCAAGTATGTGTATTTCTATTTTCCAAACAATGGGGTTTATATAAATAAAACCAGTATCTTTCAAATTGGACATTGGGAGAAAGCTTAACTGGTAAAGAGGACCTCAGTTTGAATCTCCAGAATCCACACCCTAAATATGTCATATACACCATACGACTCAGGCCTAGGGAACACTGTAAAAGAGGGTCTAAATACCAGAATGACTAAGAACTAGAAAGAAGGGTTGTGCAATGGCGTCTAAGCATGACTAGGCCATGACAATGATGAGCTCTCAACAGCGATGGGTACTGGTACTGGGCCCACACTTATCAGGTACATCGAGCAATCAGCTGTCGACGAGGAGGAGATCATAGAACCCTTCTATTTGCTATTGAACCACTGCCAACTAACAGATTCTGAGCGCGGCAAGGCCTAGTGTTCAGTATCCAGGGGTGAGCCTGTTTGCTTAAAAGCATCACCTCAGTTCCCTGGTACCCCTTTATACAAAGAGTCAGGATTGTTTAGTCAAGGGGCTTCACCCCAGCTCCTGGCATAAGCTCCCTCCCCTGGGAGTTGCCTCAGTCCAAACTCAACCTCCAGAGAAAGCCTGCCAAATGGTGAGCCCCTCCCCATGGAGAGTCAAGAAAGCCTGCCAATCGGTGACTCCTCTCGAGTGAAGGCCAAAACCATTCCAACAGGCTATTTAAACTGTCTCCCAGAGAATGAACACGTGGTCTCCCTTTTTCCCTCTTCCCCTCTCTGTGTTTTCCCAGGAGCCATCCAGAAGTGCTGGCAGCCATTAAACATGGGCGTCTTTTAAGTCCATCTGATTTGGTCTGATTGCGGTTATTTACGTCAGTGAAGAGTTTGTTGGTTAAGAAAAATATTAAGGGGGCTGGAGAGATGGCTCAGTGGTTAAGAGCATTGCCTGCTCTTCCAAAGGTCCTGAGTTCAATTCCCGGCAACCACATGGTGGCTCACAACCATCTGTAGTGGGGTCTGGTGCCCTCTTCTGGCTGCAGTCATACACACAGACAGAATATTGTATACATAATAAATAAATATTTAAAAAAATATTTAACAGAGCCTACCGGTCTCTAGTTGAAGTTTCAAATCCACGATCATACAGATGACCTTAGTTAAACTCTGTGGAACGAAAGACAGAAAGTCAAGAATATAAGGAAAAAGTGATGGCACAGAGGGAGGAAGACCAGACGAAAGGAGAAAGAGAGGAATCAGAATGTTTTATCTGTGTATAACATTGTCAAAGAACAGCACTTATCTACAGAAGAAAATGTTTGAACTATGGCTTTTAAGTCAAGCAGAGTGGTAAACATCTATAATGATAATGGTGGTGATAATAGGGGTAGATATTCGGAGAGTCACTCGTCAGCCAACCCGGCTGAAGTGATGGGATATAGACTCTGTGAGAGACCCTGCCTTAGAAAATAACGTGAAGGGTAACATTGCTGACAACCTCCACGTGAAAGTGCACAGGCTCACGAGCGTCCACAGACATATGTTCACACAGTACACCACACAGACAGACACAAGGAAATGATATTTTGGTCTATCCCTGAGAGCCTATAACAGTTTGACAGTTCATTAGTCCAAGTAGCAAAGTTTCACAATTTCATGAGTACCACCTCGAGTATTTACAGAAATGCTGTATGCTTTTTCTTCAAGTGTGAGCCTTTAAAAATACACTCTTGGATAAGTGGGTGTGGAGTGTCTTTGGGAGTTCTCTCTTTTAGGCTCATCCATCTTTTTATTGAGTGGTTATATAATTTGTGTTTGTGTGTCTCAGTGTAAAATCCAACTGCTCTTGAGAGTGATGGAGTATTTTTCTCTGTTTAATTTAATACATAAATTATAATCTAGTTAATAAAATTTAAGTCAGACACTTCATAGGGCCATCACTGAGGCATTTCCTAGAGGCTGAAATCCCAGTGTGAGAGAATTGTTATGCAACTATTAAAAGCAGTATCAGAAAGACTAAAGAGCTTGCCTCTTTCAACAGTTTTTTTTCACCTTCTATTTATATCATCTGGCAAGTGAAAGAGTGTAAACTTTATTACTCTCTGCTTAACAATTACCCCATTAAGGTTGAGTTAGATGAGGGGAAATGCCACTTCACTGTGGAAACAGCAAATAAAAAGCGGCTACCTTTTGAATATGTAAATTCTTACCTTTAAGTCCAACCCCACCTACACCTTTCCCTAAGGCAAACAAGAATGTTAGTATGTTTGACTGTTATTCTGGCAAACTTCATTATTGAAATAATGGTCAACAGTGCTAGGAAGATGGTCTCGAAATAAAATCTCTCTCATTATAACTGAAACTTGCCAGATAAAGACCTTGCCCTGCCCCCCTTTGTGTGGGGGTTATTCTTGGGGACCACAGTGTATTCCCCCAAATAACTAGATGACTGGCCAGCTGCTCAATGCCATCCTCGGGGTGTTCGCTTCCAGTTGCTTGGGGATTTGCATAAAGTCCTAAGCATGAGATGCTAATTCACATCACTATGTCCAATCAGGAAACAGTAGACAGTCAACCCACAGCTGCCCATAGCTTTACAGAGAGAGGCTCGCGGGTCACCGTGCTCCCCTGTGTGCAGAGCAGAACAGAGCAGATAGTACAAGTGGGCTTGGCCCATGACTCCACCAACACCATCACCTGTAGGGAACAAGGGAGGCAGTGGTCCACTGACTTTCTCAAGCAGCTTCAATTTAGTTTATCCTTTTTTTTTTTTTAGCTCTCTTCAGTCTCCTTTATTGTTGCAGAAATGGTAATTCTAGTCTAAATTAGAATTTAGTCTCCTAAATTGCCTTTTGAAAACAACCTCTAAATATGTGACATTGGTCTCCACAGTGGCAGTAACTGTATCTCCTGCCTTGCTGGTCTTTGGCAGTGAAATTTTGCAACTCTTCCAAACAGAGAGTAGAATCCCTTTGTCTACCTCACCAAATCTGGTTCGCCTTGGGATGCATCATAACCAACAGGAAGAGGTAGGAATGGCGCTGGCCGTCTTCTGAGACTAGGTTTTGGTCCACTCTTGTTAATTATTGAGACTTCTTCTTGGAAAGCTATCTGACACTGCTGTGCTGTGGTACTGGGGCAGATCTTGAGGCATGCCACACAGGAACATAGAGGATGGAGAGCAGAGATGCTCAACCAAGTCCAGGCAAATGATGTCTCTTGCTGAAAGAGCTATCTGAGTGACACCAGTGGCCCAGAGTAGGGCAGCCTCGTCAGTCCACAGAACTAACAAAAGCAATACATCATCCTTTATAGTTACCAAATCCTGGGAATGTTTCAACAACAGTTAGTCAACTAGTCTCTAGCAGTCTACTGGGCAGCAGTTCAGGAGACAAAGCCTTTATATAGCTAACAATTTGTTGACTTTATTCTTCGTCCTGTCTGGATTTATTACTTACACACGGCACAGGATTTTCCTGTGTAACCAGGAGCACAATCACAGCTTCCAGACTCTGTTGCAATGACCTCTATTTTCACAGAGTCCACAGGAAAACTGGCATTCTGGTCCCCAGAGGCCATCAGGGCAGGCTTGTAAAATAAAAACGAAAAGAAAGATGGCTCCAGTTTTCACGTTCACTGTCGCCTAAGTGAGATGGCAAATTGTGTGTGTTTGTGTGTGTGTGTGTGGGTGGGTGTTTTCCAAAGAAAAAAGTGTTTGCTAGCCTCTGAAGATTTATAGCTCCTCCAAAAGCATTCCTGAAAGAAATCAACACAATGTTGTGTCTATCCCTTTGGAAACACAGATATAGTAATTGTCGTTTTTCTTTTCTCTTTTTTTTTTTCGCTGAAAGTGTGTGTGTGTGTGTGTGTGTGTGTGTGTGTGTGTGTGTGTGGTTTCAGGCAGTAACAATGAAATCCATTTTGATTTATCTTTGGAGGCACTTGAACAGAACAAGCCTTAGACGGGAGTGTAATTTGTGAAAAAGCATCCCAGAAGAACGCCCCCAAATGCTAGCTGCACATCTTCTTCCTCATCAATGCTTCCTTCTCTAAGCCTAGCCAAGGCAGGGCTCTGCGGTTTGTGTTCTTTATGGCATACAGTGTCTAAGGTGGCTAAGGAGAAACTGCATGTTGTCCTGTTGAATGTCCTTTGAACTACTGACGGAAAAGGACAAGCGGTAGATACTACCGGCACACGGACCCTTAAGAGACAGCGTATGATCCACTGTCTAAAGCCTGCAAGTACAAACCTGGGAGAACTTATCTTATGAACACAGAGAAAACAGTGAAACTTCTTTAAACGCTTGACAGTGGTTGGAAGTTACAGCCCACTTCGCCCATCTGCGATGTGTGAGTTGTGCTGGGCAGAGTCTCGGAATAGCAGAATCAGCACATTTTCTGAGGTGTCATACCAGATCTGCAGCTGTATCCTCATATAATTACATCATATTTAAAAAAAAAAAACATCCAATCGCAACTTCACCCTGTACTAAATAAGGCTTGGAGAGGCGGTGCCTCTGCTGTCGTAGCACTGTGGGCAGCAAAGTTGAAATTACATCCTGCATCTTTCAGTTTGGGGATCTAGTGCGCCTAGCACACTTCTTGATGCTGAGCCATTCAGAGGCTCTCAAGTCGTCTATTGTGCTCTGAGAGACCCACTGTGGTTTTGAATTTTGAGTTTGCCTGTGGTAGAACGATTTGAATCCAGACTTGATTTTCCTGCAATGGCACAGGGGCTGCACAACCTTCCTAAAATAGGCTTATGGGGGGCACTGGACCACTGGGCCCCCCACATTTAAAAATCTGCCTGTAGCTGGGGTTCCAAATACCCACGATACAAACTTTTACCCAGAATACCTAGGCAGCCTTTAAGTGGTTTCTCTCTCCTCTGTCACAGGTTGCTGGAAGAAAGTCACTTTGCTGTTTGGAGAAGTCGCTGCTGATAAGCTAACTGAGGTTACTGCTGATTGTTCAGGGTGCTGCTCCCCAGTACCACTGAAACAATTCTTAAGTGACTATTCACGTGCAGTTCTGCTGCAGGCCTGGAGGTAAGATTCCTAAAGCTGTGTCTGGCCCTGGGAGCATAGGGGCCACCCTAGGGCTTGAGATGCAGAAACCCAACAGGGCCAGTTTTCACCACGCTCGACTCAACAAGTGCTCTCCTTGCCTTAATTTCAGCTGCCAATCATGACGAGCTCATCTACATGCTCCCGTCTTATTCATAATTTCATTTCGTGGTTAGACAAAACTATCAGGATTGGACAAAGCTATCTGATTGAAAAATAATATGTTTTCTAGAGATTATGGTGACCTCTCTATTTTGCTGATTTACATATACTTTCAACTCATTTTCCTTCACAGTGGGGATCTCAGAAGCCGTTCCCAATAAAGTATATTCAGCAGCTGCTTTAAGGAAATGTTGTCAGAATAAATTAAATTTACCCAGGTGTGTGTACATTGTATTATATCCTTGTGCATTGACTTCCAGAACATGCCATCTCAGTAGGGACACGAAGAGAATGCTAACATCAGGCTTAAAATCAGGGCAGAGATTGAGTGACATCAGACCTATTCTTGTGTCATATTAAACACATTTGCTTGAGACTGGACTTCTGTTTCCTCCAGTTCCTTTCTTCGTTACTTAGGTAGTTACAGTGCAGTCACCACAATAGCCCACAGGGCTGGCTCCTAAGCCTAAGAGGTTTCTAGTTGCAGAACAGGATGATGTCCTTCCCTAAACCAGTGCATAAGGCATTCGAAGACAAGTTTCAATCCCCTGCTTCTGTGAGCGGATTCAACACTGCGCTGTCTTCCATCGGAGCCCAGTATCCTCTTCTAGTCACAAAGTATGTAAGGCACCGCCGTTAGTCCTGGTCATTTGGTTTGTTCCAGGTGTGCAGTTCTTATGAAAGAGCAAAGGGCCATGACAATTTTCTTTTCTTAAATAAGAATCCCTAGGGCTTGATGAAAGTATAATATATATACATATGATCCTACATACTATGTGTTGATTTAAGGAAAGATTTACTGACTAGTGGTCACAGGAGTAAGGGAATACCCAAGAAAACAAAGCAGAAAGCCTGTCTATGTGGGATCCAGATTCTGTCAAGAGAATGATCAAGAGAATGATCACCCATATCAAATACAACAGTAACAGGTGAATAAGGTAGAGCAGAAGATGAGAAATACGATAGAGCAGAAAAAAAAAATCCAACGAAAGTGCAAGGCGCATTCTAAGAAGTGTGCATGAAAGACATTCGGTGACAAGCCACCAAACCCCAAAACCATGAGCATCCCAGAGTCTACAAGCCAGGGATGGCTTTCCCGACAGGCCGAAACACCATTTCCCCAATTTTTCACGCAACTGCAACATGTCTACACTTTCTTACGATTGGCATCATAATTCACTGTCTATAGATTGGTCTAAAGTTTATGTGACATCTGTATAGTTAACAAATGACAGTACTGGCATCCATATTTAAATTCTCCATGGTTAAGGAACTGTTAATAAATGTATTTGCATGACTGGTTTTTGTATGAAAGAATATGGTCTTTAATTCTGAAAGAGAGCAGGTCCTTGGTTGATACACCAATGTTGTCTATCTTTAATTGTTTTCAGATATAATTTTAACCAGTGTGATCCTTTTCTCCTTTGCTCAGGCTGAAAACGGGACCGCTAACAGCAGTGGCCAAGAAGACAAGGTTCAATAATTGTATTGCCCCCCCCCCTTCTCAGTTTCCTCACCTGCAACGGGGGATCAATAAAAACATCCCCACCTCCAAGAACACTAGTGTGGATTACCTCATTAATAACACATGCTTTACAAAGACTGATCATTCATTATTAGAGAAGCCCAGAAATCCATCATTGGTTTGTACCTTCCTGGCATCTGTTTCCTTGGTAACCAGATTTGCAGGTGCAACTACCATTTTTGGCACTGCATTCCAGGGTGCTATCCTCCACACACTCACATTCCAAAGAACAGGCAGTGTCATACGTCCCCCTGGGACAACCTGCAAGCCGAGTAAGGCAGGCTGGTCACCTGAAAACCATGCTTTGTTTATTTGAAATTGTTAGTGCACAGGCATGACATTCTTTGGGACCTGATTTATAAGGAGAACAGGGGGATCATCATGACTGCCAAACCAAAAAAAAAAAAAAAAAAAATGAGGCAACAAATGTCTTTCAAATCAGGCAATTCATTTGATTTTTGGCAACTGGACATGAACATTGAAGGCTGAATTACTCAAAAGGCCGCGGTGATGCTGGGAGAGAGATTGCTTCTCAAATGTGCGCTATTGCTGCCTGGACTTAATATTCTCCAAGGACTGCTTTGGCTGCCAGGCCCCTCATCATCCAGCTGTAGCCTGGAGATGATGGACAAGCACTTATGTGAAGGTTGGCCATTGTCCTGACTCCTCCCGATTATATGGCAATCAGAAATAATTTTACATCTCACAGATTACACAAAGCTTCCATTGTGACAGCGATATTATCTTGACCACTTCTGTGGCAAGTGCTGCTTGCCCTGTCTTCTTTGTTCTCCCCAGGCCATTGAGTTTTAGAGATGATGCGATCAGGACTGAAATTCTAACTTGAAAACATCCTGCCCTTGCGTTTAGGACAGCATCCCATAGTTCATGCCTTCTCTCTCTTCCTCTTTCCAACTGCTTCTGCTGAGTTCTTAGAACAGCGCCATTCCCTGTCCTAAACAGATCTCTGACAATTATTTGGTTTCCCGGTTATTAATGTTCAAGAAACTTCTCAAATGAAATCTGTTTTAAGGTTCTCCTGGGATCAAAGTAATTGTTTGGTGTGCCCTTACAGGCTTTGCTGCAGAAAATGCAATGAATTGTGGTGCTTCCCCAGGGGACCGGAAGTGACATTAATGGCGTTCATTCAATGTGGTGGTTATGATGACTCCTAAGGAATCCCACTCTGGTTGCCAGGGAAAGTACAAATATCTTTAAAGGCAGACACTCAACAGAGCCATGTGGATGCTTCAATTATTGGGTCCAGTTCTGGTAACGAGTGATCGTTTTCATGACCACCAAGTTCCATAGACAGCATCAGCCTCACCAAGACTGGAGTCTGCTTCAATCTAGGTTCTTCTGCTTATTCCAGAATACATACTTGGTAATGAGTTTGGATAAAGAAAAAGTGGAAAGGATATCAGTGGGTAAGCCAGTATCTGCTCAGGGTTTGTTAGGCATCGAGATAGAACACCCAGCATTCGAATTTTAAAGCCCTGATTTTCGGGACCTAAAAATGTAACTTTACTTCTGAATACATTAAGGATATAATGTTTTAAGACAAGGTTGTACTGGGATAAATGAGTTTCTAATTCAACACACATAATGAGCTTACAGACTGAGGGGTTTGCCAGAGACCTGCATGTAGTGAAAGCACCAGAGAAGGGCAGTATGATGGTGTAGGAGGTCCTTCTGTATTTGTGCTCCTTTCATTGGTTATTAACGAAACTGCCTTGGCCTAGTTGATAGGGCAGAACTCAGGTAGGCATGGAAGACAGAACAGAATTCTGGGAAGAAGAGCAGAGTCAGGCAGATGCCATGAAGCTCCTGCCTGAGTTTCCCGGTATGCCATTACCTCATGGTGCTATATAGATTATTAGAACTGGATTAAATCAAGATGTGAGAGTTAGCCAATAAGTGGCTAGAAATAATAGGCCAGGCAGTAATTTAATTAATACAATTTCTGTGTGATTATTTCAGGGGCTAAGCTAGCCGGGCGGTGGGACATGGCCCGCCCCTTCTACGACAGTATAACACCATAGAAGGAATTTCCAATGGCAGGAAGAGACCTGAACAGATCCCTCTGTAACATCATCAGATGGACCAGAAAACTACTGACACCTTGAAATTGGGCTCCCAGCTTCCAGAACTCTCAGACAATGGGTTTTTGTTTTGAGATACTCAGTTTGTGGCACTTGGTGTGGTTAGGAAAATAATGCTGTAGGACTTGAGGTCCTTGGGGCTAGTCAAGTGACATTCAAAAGTAAATCCAGAAGAACTAGGATGTGTGCAGTCTTCCTAAAGATTGTGGCATTTAAAATGTTAGTCATCACTACTACCACCTCACCATTACCACCACCAACACTTCTACAGCCACTGCCACCAGCAGTAACCACCCCATCACCACAGTCACCACCATCATCACCATCACTACCACCACCACCACCAGCAGCAGCAGCACTCCCTAAGCCCCCCACCATCACATCTTGTTTTCTGGTATTCTCCTAAGTCTTTACTCTTTACAGTTGGCAAGTGAGCCTGTTATTCAAATCCTAAGCATGCCAATTTTGTTACTGAAAAGTGAGCTTCCCAAACTTTTTGACAAGATGTATTGATTTAAGTTTTGTGCTCAAACATTTGGTATTACATATAAAATATTCAAAGGTTATTATTTCATATTGGATATGTCTTGCTACAGTTCAAGACCAATAACAGAAATGGTACGACCTTTGTTTCCAGCCAGGTTTTCTTCTTTAGGCATGCCTTGGGAGACGAAAGATAGTCTAGAATGTACCCTCTGTACCTCTGCTTTTCAGTTATTGATGGCTCTCTCTATTCTTTCCTTTATTTACCTAAGCCTAATCTTTGCTCATGGCCCGCTATCAATTTACTATGATGCCTTCACTCGATCTCTTATTGGCTTATTCACAATTTACTATCTTTTTCCCAGAGACATTCCTTCTCTTAAGTATGTAAGGCTTATTGATATTAAATTAAAAATAAATTATAAATCATAGAAGGTAATGGTACCTTGATAACAGCAGTGTGAATGGTACTGTCCTCCTTAAATGGTTATGGTAGAATCTTATGCCCCTTGAAGAATGCTATTTGGAGGGTGGGGGATTTTAGGAACACTGTTAGGTAGGGACGAAGGGTGTTTATTGTGAGATTAGTGCTTTAGTAATAAAGTCTGAGAGAATATTTGCTTGTCTTCCCAAAAGGAGGATGCACTGCCGGGAACTATCTAGGAACCAAAAAGTCACCTTTCATAAGGGACCTTATGCAGATTTCCCAGACTGTAGAATTAAATACATATTTTATAATCTATCCATTTTATGGTATTCAGTCATAGCAAGCTAACCAGACCAAGACACCAACATTCATTAGGAGAAATCTTCAGAGGACCGAGTTGCTCAATAGCAAGATGAGGGAAGGACCATAGCAGAAGGAGCAGGAAGAGCTGAGGTTACTTTAGGGAGGGCTGCACTCACTTCTGATTTACAGATTTTAGCTTCAGTGTTGGAGGAAAGCCCTTCAATGTCACTCCATGGAGAAACTGTAGAAGTTACAGCTGAGTTTACAGACTCAGATATTTGGGGCATCGTTTGAAAACTGTGCATGGTCATTGTAACACAGGCAGAAGAGCTGTTCTGAATTTTAATGTTCTAGTGCTTTGTGCTAGACACAGAGGCATGGTCTAGGCCCCTCACAATCAGCACCTTCAACATGACAGTTATTTACTTAATATCCAACAATCCTTGCTTGATAATTAAGAAAATCAGGAGATAGAAAAATTTAAAATTTGAAAATATTTTTTATTCATAAAAATCTAGATTCTGTAATTTAAAGAGCCCAAAGAACATAATAAAATCCTTGCCTCTATGAGTAGATGAACTAGGTTTTGTCTGATCTGTCCCCACACTATTCTAAGCCACTGTGCTTCACCTAGGGACAAATCACAGCTGCTACTTACTGAGATGACAGAATCTTCCATAGCGCCCTAGGTCACATACGCAGGCACCATACACCCTGTGGCAATGGCCGTTGTTGGCACAGTGACATTTTCTTTTGCAGTTCTTCCCAAAGAACCCCTTTGGGCATCCTTCAAGGTATGGAAAAGAAGGAAATATTAGCTCACATTCCGAAATTGCTACAACCTTTGTTTATAAAACACAAATCCTGAGTTTCCACCCCTATCTGAGGAGCTATAGACAGTTGATGGTTTGAGGGAAAGACAGTCACTGTCCTCTGGGGAGTTGGCCAATGGCAAGCGTTCATGTCCCAGCAGATGGCCACATGCACACACAGACAGCACTACATGTATCCTTAGTAAGACATGAACTTGGAGGGAGGACAAGGTGTGGTGCTCTAGGGGGAGCTGGAGTGAGATAGTGGTGGGCAGATGTGCTCAATATACATTGTATAAATGTATGGAACTTTAAAAAATAAATCTTTTGAATAGTACCTGAGAATTTCTTACAATGTATTTTAATCACACTCACACCATCTCTTGCTACTCTTTCAAAATTCAGCCAACTTCCCTTCATAGCCAACTTTGTATCTTCTTTTTCCTTTTCTTTAACACACATCAAGTCTAATTTGGGATGCTCATGGATTCTTGGATGTGGGCTCTTCCACTGGATTGTGGGAGATCTAGTAGGGGCCACACTCTTACAGAAAACTGATTCTCCCGGCAGTTATCAATTGCTAATGGCTCCTCAGCTAGGGGTGGGACTTCATGACCACTTCTTTCCATGCTAGGATTATGTGAGGCTTGAGCTGGCATAGGTCCTGTACATACTGTCTCAATGGCTATGAGTTCATATGTGCCGCTGCCTTGCTGCATCTGGGAGACATTTTCTTTGTAGTCATCCACTTCCCTGGCTTTTAATTATATATGTGTGTATACATATATGTATATGTATGTACATGTGTACACACACATATATAATATTATGTATTATCGTACATCTATTTAGGAAGCCATAGTACCTCAGCAGGTAAACTGAACAGATTCCTGAGAAGTTTCAGTAGATTCTGTCACAGAAGACCAAAAAAGATACTGGGATAGTCATCTACTCAATGGGAAACATTAGGGTTAGGGCTGGGAACCCCACTTTCCTGATTGCTACTCAATTTTATTTTTAATTTCCTGGGTTGCAGTTTAAAATGTCTACCATCTTTTAAATATGTAACTTATATGGATTTTAAAGATTATCAACACTCCCTTTGCATTGAAGAATTTAGTCAAAAGCTCTGAGTTGGTTTGGGGTTGTTCTGTCTTTATTCTCAGACTGTGTTTTCTGAAACAGACTCTCCCAGAAAGGCACTGGTGAACACTCAGACATCTGCAAGGTTTTCCAGGAATGACGATGTGGACACCTTACCCTTTTATCACCTCGTTCCCTTCGATCTCTCATCATATCAGTGATGATTTCCTCTGATGCTTCAGAAGTAGATTGTCTAGTATTGTTTCTCATGCTACCATGTCAAGGAACATGTGTTCAAGCCACACATGTATATCAATGGACTACATGCTAAACAAATCTTTATACTGTAATAATAATATGATGACAATATATACACTTTAACTATGAAATATGTGATTGTATGGGTTAATATAATTGAGAGTCTCTACCAAGATTTGTTCTGTCTGTACTGATGTGGCTGGCATTTATTGTAAGTATAGAGTAACTTACAATAAATAAGAATGAGTTGTGCCTGACCAAGAAGAATACTCCTCAAGAAAGATCAGTACAGCAAGAGAGGCTTGACATCCACTAGAAAGACTAAAGCTTGCCAAGGATGCCACCTGAAGCTTTACATGACAGAAATGGATCTTCAGAGATCTTGGTGGAGCAACAACCACAGAACTAAAACATGCAGAATATTAAGTAGCCAGTGGTTTACCTTCCTAGAAATAGTCAACTGGGCAAAAACTATGATAAAGATTTTTTAAAAAGAGGGGTTTATGGGAACCTAATTGTGGAAGGTTCCAAGTGACTAAGTATACATACATACATACATACAAACATACATACATACACACATACATACATAAAACATACATACATATATAAAGTACATAAAGACAGTGGGCTCCTTAAAAGGTTAAGAGCAGCAGAGAACATGATCACAGGAATTCTTGGGGAACAGCCTGAATACCTGAATAAGTGATGCTGGCCAAAAGATGTCACTGTGTCAGGACTTGGGTCCTGTGCCTGTGAAATGCAGTAGGACATATCTTTGCTCTTTTTTTCTTGCATTCAGTGAGCTAAAAGGAAAAATCTGCTCATACTGTCTTCTAGATAATCATGAAGACACATATTTTTAAGTATATGAGCAAGTTAAAAAGAGAAAACACTCAATGTATTTTATTTTATCATGTGGAAGTTTCAACTCCTAAAAGCTGTCTTCATTTAAAACACAAATGAAATGATATTTGGATAGCATCATATTTAAATTTTTGATAGTTTCTCTTGAGAGATTTATATAAAAAGATGAAACTATCACCATTGGTTATGTTAATGTGATTTTTAAAAGGGGGAAGAGAGGTAAAAGAACAGAAGCAAGCCCAGTTAAACAATTTCATTTTTGAAAATTTTAAGCAAACTCACTGTACTTTGTAATACAAAGCATCCTGGTTTTCCATTGGAAAAAAAATGGCCAGGTCTTGGTGATTTATTAGAGTCCAGGGTTTTTTTTTATAAGACCAACCTTATTGGGAGCCTTTATTAATTTCTGTTTTGTGGGTTAGCAGAATTCGGAACGTTACATTCCACTGAGAATATACAACCTTTCCTTTCTGTCATATATTCAGTTTACAAATGCCACCATTCCCTATCATTCTTTAAAGCAACTATAGTGATAGACAATCGGTATATTTTAGGCTGCTTTTTTGAGAAGAACTCACCTAAAGGAACTGACTGGTTCACACTAGTTGTTAGGGTGTTGCTTTCATTGCAAAGAATGCCAGTCCAGCCTTCGGGGCAGAAGCACCCAGTCTTTCCTTGTTGGCATTTACCTCCATTCAGGCAGTCGTCACAGCTCAAGCTGCAGTCCAGGCCAAAGGTGCCATCTAAACAGACTGTCATGGGAAAGCAGCTTAGTTGACTCCTAGCTATACTTGTAACCAAAAATAAAGTAAAATACTTAAATCCTCAAAGGTAGTCACATCAGATATCTTTCCCAAAGAAATCCAGAAAAGGACCTTTGCAAAGAGATAGCCTGAACACAGACCAGATTTTATTTTGGCAAGTTATCATATTAGATTATTGTTCCTTTTTAAAAGGGCTATGGGGAAGAAACAAACCAGGTCTATGACTGATTCTAGGGCACAGAAGGGACAGAGAGTTCAGGCTTGTTATGCTTCCCTTTCTAGACTTTTCTATGCATATGTTATTGAAACTTACTATCATGTGTAAGGATGCACACATCTCAAATCTACCCACCAGCAGCCCACACTCTCAGATCAGGGTACAACGTATTTACCTCTTACCTAAAATGTCAATGCTATTAGGGCTCATAAATAAAATACTACCATAGTCTCTGACACCACACATGTTTTTCTGAACGTTTTATAAACAAAATTGTACAGTAAGTGCTTTTGCAGTCAGGTTTCCTCTGTCAGTACAACGCCTGTGACATTCCTCCCCGCTCTGTGTATAATGTTCTGTTCCTTACTGAGAGGCAATCTGTGCACATTTTCCTTCTCTTCTTGATGGAGATTGTCCTGATATGAGTACGTTCAGAGGTATTCTTTTATGTGTTGTTTAGGCATGGGCTCATGTTTCGTCCTCATCTTGGTGTGGGGGGATGGGTGGATGTGGGGCCTTGCTACTCTGGGCGGTGCTGGTTTCCACTTTGCACATTCTCATCACAGCTGTGCTTCTGAGCACTGCACCTGCCTTGCTTTCTTGACAGCTGTCTGTGGGACTGCATGGCCCATCTCATGACTGGCTAATGATCGAAGGAAAGACAGAAGAGGTGTAACTGGAACTCTCTCTTTTCAAACCTTGGTCAAATGATTTCATTTTGCCTACATGTGCTGTTTGCAACTACATTTACTTTGATATCGAGTAGCCAAAACACCAGAAATTTAATAAGGGAACATTTAGATAGTTCACCTTTATGCAGAAGCATTGATAGTCTTATAAATGAACTATAATACAAATGTTTTACTGCCAGTTTCTATTTTATATTTATTTGTTTGTTTTTTATTAGGCGCATGTGCATATATGTGTACAAATGGCACTGCACATGTGGTGAGGTCAGGGCACAGCTGTTGGCAGGGGGTCACGTTTCTGCTATGTGGGTCCCAGATGTTGAACTCAGAAGGATGTTCATGGTAGCAAGCATTTGCTCACTGAGCCATCAACATACTCCTTCACCTCGTACTAATTTCCACAAGTACTTTCATATCTTCTCTTTATTGTATAAAAATGGAAATCAAGAGATGATAAATTTATAGGAAGTTCTGCAAAAGCAAAGGTTTTGGACCCATTTTTCTACTCAATCTCCCATCTCAACATCTGATGACCTTAACTATTGATAATGAAATTGCTTGGGTACTGTGTCTGAGTTATCTGATGATGAGGAGCCATAAACAATGAAACCATCCTTTACTCACCCACTCTGTGCAAGGCTGTCAGACCCTGGAACTCTTCTTCTGCTTCCTGATCTTCTTCATCATCTTCATCTTCGTACGAAGCAGCCAGAGAAGGAGCGAGGTAAGGGAATGGCCGAGGTGAGTTTTCAACCAGAAGTCCTGGAAACCTCAGGATGTCTAGTACCTCTTCTTCCTCCTCTAATTGCTCATCATCTAGAGCTCAGACCAGAGAAGAAGACACTGGTTTTCAACACTGAGGCTAGAAGGAGGAAAAAGCGACCAAACATTGACAAATAGCGAGACGGCTACGCAGGGATGAGTGATGGGCAAAGAGCTCTGAGCAGGCTTTTCAAAGACCCATTGTATCAGCAGCCAGATGCTGCTGGCATGGGGTTGAATGACAGTAGACAGAGTGCAAGGGCAATAAAATAAGGCTAGAAAGAAAGAGGAGTGGGAGGAAAAGAAAAAGAATGAAGGGAGTCAGGAAGGAGGGACGGAATGAGAGGGAAAGAGAAGGAAGGAAGGAAGGAAAGAAAGAATGAAGAAGGGAAAGCGAGGGAGAGAAGGGTAGAAGGAAGAGAGAGAGACAGAGACCTGAAGGAGGGAGACAGGGTTCTGAAGTTTTCTTCTCCTGCACTCTGAAGAGCAGGAAGTGGAAGGAATTTACGAAAGACTCAGAAAATCCCTTGACTACTGACAGAGACAGGTCCTTCCATCACTTCCGATTCTGTATCCGTCTTCACAGGCGCAGTCATATGTCCCCACGGAGTTGATGCACAGCTGGTCACAGTCCACACTGACATCCAGGCACTCGTCTACATCTAGGGAGAGTAGAGTTAACCAGCACCTGCCCTTTTGTGGTATTATGTGCCCTTTATTAACTAGCAGAGGCATCCTGCCACACAGAAAGCAAGTACAGTCCCTCTGTATCGCACATACCTACCTAGTGACTTGCTTTCGTTCATTTGCAAGTTTACCGAAGACTGGCCACAAAAACGAATGTTTTCTGAGCTTTCTTTGTGTAGCTTGGATGAAGAACATAAAACTTAAATTCGATGGTTCCAAGCTGTGCCTTATTCTGCAAAAATGTACTAATTTCTCAGCTCAAGTATGTGAGTGAACATTTTTGCATAATTCCACGCAGGGTCCACGGAGAACTTTTGACACAGAAGAATACTAACTAGTGTGTCCTCGTGTAGTGATCAGATTTATAACTGAATCTGAGTTCATAGCCAATCCGTGTGTTAGATACACGGAGAGTCCCAGAGTGAAGCCACACTTCAACTATACCTCAGACGGTGCACACCTTACCCTATGGGTATGCGCAAGTGTGCGCCTTCATGTCATACAATCAGATCTTGGCTCACTCCTCTTCGGAGCAGATGGTGCATAAAATGCAGCTTTTGTTGGCTCTGTTAATTGGATGGAAATGATGAATCTGCTCCACTGTATTTAGATATATAGATAGCACAGTGTTTTTCTCCGATCTACACTGAAGGGCTGGCTGAGTGGTTTAAAGCCTGGATACCATCAGAATTCAAGATTTGTCTCTTTAAGCAATGAAACTCCACGTTCTTTGTGACATTAATGTTATATATTTGACTTGATGCTGGAATAGATCGTAATGCTATGAACTGTGGATAGATTTAATGAAAACACATTTTTAATAATAATAATTGCAAAATTAAAAAATCAATAATGTATTTAAGGTAATTTTTGTTTTTAATTAACTCTATATAAACATAGAGAGCAATTGATTATACTATAGCACGCTTATACACACATAACATTCCGTTTCAATCTCATTCTTACCTTCCCCCATTGCCTACTCTCTTTGTCCTTACTTTTAACCCCTTCCTCCCCTATTGCTGCCCTTTGGCTTTAATGTCACTTGTATCCTATCACACTCTCTAGCCCCTCCCACCTATCATTTCCCCCTTCTCCTATAGCTGCCCTTCGACTTTTATGTCACTGGAATTCCATTACAACCTCTAATGCCTCCCACCTATCTTCTCGCTCTTCCCACTTTCTGTCTACTTTCTACTTTCAAGGCACAAACAGATTTAAGTTTAGATTATGCATATGAAAAAAACATGTGGTAATTGTCATTCTGGATCTGGTTTATTTCACTTAATTATAAATGACCCCTATTTGTATACATTTTTCAAAAATGATTTGATTTCATCTTTCTGGGGATGGATAAAATTCTGTTCGATACATGTTCCACATTTTCTGCATTTATTCTTCTGCTGATTGCCATGTAGGCTGGTTCTGTGCCTTGGTTATGATGAGCAGGGCAGCAGTAATTATGGATGTGAAGCATCATATGGAACAGTGACCTCACTCTTCCATCCTATACAGAATGGTGGAGCCCCGTTATATGGTAGTTCTAGTTCTTGAGTTTTGAGAGTCTTTCTTCATGACTCCTAAGAGGGCCATGCAAGTTTGCCTTCTCTGCAACAGTGCATGAGATTTCTTCTTTTCCCATGTCCTCTCTGCTGTTTTTAATAACAGCCACATGGCTTAGATGAGGTGGAAGTTAAAAGTAGTTTCAATGTGCATTTCCTTGGCAGCTAAGCATGTTGAATTTTTTTCAAATATTTATGCCATTTTTATTCGTTGTTTTGAGCACTAATAAACTATTATGCTCATTGATAAATTTAGCAATGGATATATTAGGGGTTTTTTAGTTTTTAAATTTTGCAGCTCTTTCTATATTGTAGCTATTAATCCACTCTGTAACGTTGGATGACAAAAATAATTTTTCTGCTCTTTAGATTGTCTCTTCATTCTGGTGATTGTTTCCTTTGCTGTGTAGAAGCATTTTTAGGTTCTTGATATCTAACTTATAAATTTTTGGGATTTTTCTCTTGGTACTGGAATCCACTGAAGAAAGTTCTTTCTTATGCCACTATCTCAAAGTGTTTTTTTCCATAATTTTTTTCTAGCAGATCAAAGCTTCATGTGCCTCACTAAGATCTCTGGTTCATTTTGTAGCAATATTTGTAAAGGCAGAGAAATACGGATTAACTTTCTTTATTCTACAGGTGGATATCCAATTTTCACTGCATTTGTTGAAGAACCCCTCCCCCAACTCCTGTAACCTCAGTGTTGGTTGGTACAGATGGATGTGTCCTGGGAGCTCACTTGCCAATCTATCTAACAGAAAAGCTGAGCTCCAGGTCCAGCAAAAGACTCTGTCTCAAAATTAGATTAGAGAAGCACTTGAGAAAGACACCAACATCAATCTCTAGTCTCCACATGTATCCACATGAGTGGCTGCATCCACATAGTTACACACACACACACACACATACATACACACACGAGAGAGAGAGAGAGAGAGAGAGAGAGAGAGAGAGAGAGAGAGAGAGAGAGGGAGAGNAGGGAGAGGGAGAGGGAGAGGGAGAGGGAGAGGGAGAGGGAGAGGGAGAGGGCGAGAGAGAGAGAGAGAGAGAGAGAGAGAGAGAGGGAGGGAGAGAGAGTGCAATACTCACTCTCCAGACTCCAGATCTTTATATGATTTCTGAAGGAAGACACTATTAATTAGGAAAGCAAAAGAATGAATAAATTTCCTACAACGAAGAGATGACTAAAAGATAGCTAAGAAGAAATCTCTCATATCCAATACTAACCAGAAAACCTCTAATGGTAATAGAGGAGGGAAAAAAGGAATAAACAGTAATCCAGTAGATCCATGAGATAGCAGGAATTTACCATCACATCCACAGCCATCCGAACTGATCCGAAAGCCTTCCTGACAGCCGCATTCGTAGCCTCCTGAATAGTTGATGCAGAGCTGGGCACAGCAGGAGTCTCCACCTTCACATTCATCAACGTCTGAAGGGCAGAGGACATTTGCGTTATCCCAGGAGGCAGAATCCAACAAAACTGAAGAAGCTTTGAGAGGCCTCATTTCTGAATTAAACCTGATTAACCATTTCTCACTTCTCAGGCCATGTAGTAGAGACATTGAAGAAATGATCCCATAAAAATATGATACCACTTTTGGTTTATGTTTCTGGTATGTTCCTTGCATGTCTGTTATTTAAAGGACTATAAGTCATCTTTAAATGCATTTATAATTATAGGAATAGAGTTCTCTGCTACTTTTTCCAGTTTAAAAAGCAATATGACTGAATAAATAGAACTTGAGGAACAAAAAGGCAGAATTAAGGATGAAGATCCAAAGAATTCCACTTAGTAACTAACGTTTGACAGCCGCAGAAAGCACAGCTACAGACTTTGTAATGTGCCTGTTCTTTAAGACTGTAGATCAAGAGTGTTCCCAAGTAAACATTCCCCTTGCGCTCAACGAGGGAGAGGAGGGGGAACTGAATGTCTGTGAGATGGAAGCAGGCACCCTTACTTCACATTCACATACTGTGTATTAAATTCAGGAGTATTCCAGAGTATTCCCTTAAAGGTGCTGATGCTGCATCGCGTGGGATGAGTGAGGTCCGCGTGCAGGGGTTTGCTACAGCTGTGAAGTCATTCCCCTGTCAGATGAGCAGCTGTTTAGATAGCATTATCATCGAGAACTCTACAATCGTGAGTGCTTGTTCTTAAGACACGGCTGGCCTGGGGACAACCAAAAAGCTCCAGTAGTTGTCAGGAAACCCTGCAGCCCAACAGCGATCTGCTCGGCCCAAGCTTTACAGGGTCACTCTGGGCAGAAGAGTGAAAGGCTGCTGTAGACACTCGCTCTTTTCCTGTGCTCTGGGCTGTCAGGGATTGCATAAGGAAGGCACTGGCTTTCAGCCCCTGGCTCAGTTCTAGCCTGCCTGCTGAGCTGTTAGGTTGGGTGGCTGTCACTGCTGAGCATACAGAATCCTATTGCTCCAGGATTACGTGAGCGACCACTGGTACAGAGAGGTCAGTGTCTCAATTAACCCGGGAGAGTCAGTAGAGGCAGAGAAATGAAGACAAGAGACCGGAAGGAAGGAAAGGAAATGCAAGCAGTCGGTCAAGGTGAGGGGTCACTATCTAAATGAAGGTCATCTGGCACATCTGGCACAATGCGTTCTTTTTCTAGCAAAATGTCACCAGGAGCTCCACTCAGAAGACGGCAGATAGACTGCAGATATTAGCTTTCATCATATTAAGCCTTCCCCTGCTCTTTAGATTAAACAAGGTGAACATAGAAGTTAAAAAAACAAAAGATAAAGTATTTTTTGCTTCATTTAAAACGTTACTCTTTGTGATTTTTTTAAAAAAATTTAGATATTTTTGTTTTCTTTTAAAAAGCCTTCTTGCAAACAGAACCTCTGAACATACAGGTCTCAACTAGCAAGGGACTGGCTATGTCACAGAATCTGAAAATTTCCCTTGTTCTGATTGTTATTATGTGTTAATTTCTGATTATTTTGCCATTTCCATTCTCCAGGGAAATTTTTTACCTTGCACACTGATTTCAGCTCAAAATCTCAACAGAAACTTACCTTTTCTACGGTAGAATTCATGTGGGGGTGAAGAGGTGCACATGTATGTCATGTGTGTGTGAGTATACATACATGCCCTGTGTGTATGTGGGTGCACATGAAACATGGGGTCATAGGAGGTATACACATGCATGTCATATGGGTGAGGGTCCACATGAATGTCAAGTGAGGGATGTACATGTGTCATTGCTAAAGTCATGTAGGAACTCAAATGCATGTCACGTGTGTGAGTAAACATGTATGTCATGTATGTGAGTGTGCATGCACGACATGTGGGGAGTGTAAATGCATATCATGTGTGGGAGTGCACATGTATGTCATGTGTGGGAGTGCACATGCATGTCATGTGGGAGATTGTACATGCATGTCATGTGGGGGAGTGTACATGCATGTCATGTAGGGGAGTGCACATGCATGTCTTGTGGGGGAGTGTACATGCATGTCATGTGGGAGAGTGTGCATGCATGTCTTGTGGGGTGTGCACATGCACCATTGGTCAAGTCATAGGGAAGATACACATGCATGGTATGTGGGGGGCACACATACCTGTGGTGTGTGTATGGAAGTGCACATGTATCATGCGTCTTCCTCAATGCTCTCTCCACTTCATGTTTTGAGAAAGGGTCTATGTCACTGCATCAACTGGCTAGCAAAACAAGAGATTCCTCTGTCTCCCCCAAGGAGTCCTGGGATTACAGGCCCAGGCTTTTATGTGGGTGCTGGACCAGAATTCGTGTTTTCATATGTACAGAGCGAGGAGTTCACAGACTTAGTTCTAACACTGTCACTTCAACCTTAATACCAGCGCTTTTGTACATTTCTTTATTTCTTTTCATAGCCTTGATGGAACTGTTGATCGTCTGAGTTCCTGTTTTGTTCAGACTTTAAGGCTTTTGGCTGCTGTTCAGGCTGCAACACTGCTGCAGAGACGTAATGTACCTCTCACCTGAACAGGAAAAGCCAGCCCCAGACTGCTGCAGAGACATAACGCAACTCTGACTTGAAGAGGGAAAGCCAGGCCTCAAAACGGGAAGATTCATGTACTGAGGTGAAATTCTGAACCACTCAGTTCTGAAAAGCATCAGTGTGAAAAGCCCCATCCTCTGTCCACAGCCACTGAAGGAAAGTTGCCAGTACTTCCCAGTATCTAGCCATTTGGATAGCTTGGCAAACCTCACTGTGATCCGACAACGGTCCCTCCGGTAACCCTTTACCCCTTTCTCTAGGTTCAGCACTGGACTTCTGCACTTTGGCAAGGCTGACCATTGGTGTGCTAGCTGTACTTGGACCACTTTTATCTTTTCTTCTATGTCTCCATCTTTAGAAAATACCTCATATGATAGAACTCGTGGCTGGTTTAACAGAGCAACAGGCAGCAAGAAGGGTGGGGTGACCTCATGGTCTAAAGAAGCCATTGCTTTTGTCTTGGTGAATATATGATCTTCAGAAATAGGCATTTTTATCATTGAAAAAATAAAGGAAAATAAACTATAAGCAGTGTAACATTGCCTTGTTGACTGCTGAAATCTCATAAATACGCAGTTTCCTGCATTTTGACCCTAGCAGATGCTATATTTTTCTAGCTGTAAATAAGTTTCCTGAATTGTACTTTTCAAAGACTAAAGACATCAAGGTTTAAAAGAATATAAGAAGAAATACATTAATTAAAATATAAAGAAAAGATGTAACTTATCAGTTTTCTTTATTTAGTGCTCATAAAAAAACAAAATGAGAAGGGAAAAAGAAAGGAAAGAAGGAAGGAAGGAGAGAGGGAGGAAGAGAACCATTCATTTCTTTCATAAATTTAAATATTAATGAGACGGAAAATATGGCACAGTTTACATTGCAAGAGACTCAAGGAAAACGATTGGTTCTGATTCGTTGGGCTCCGTCAACTCATAGCGGTGTAAAAAGCACTCTTGGATCAAGAAACATATGCAATGGGTTTGTTTAGGCTTAAATAGTCTTGCGAGACCAGAGTACTGTAAATTCCATGATAGTGTTCTCTCATAGCGCCCAAGTACAAAACCAAATAACCCAACCCAGTGCTTTCGCCGCTGCCTCTGCATTCGTGCTCTAAAGAGTCAGAATAGCGTGCAGTGAAAGTGAGGCTCTCTAGCATTCTTTCTATCGCTATAAAGAGTGAAAACACATGCCTCCATTAAGAAAACAAGCAAATGCAGCGCTTCCATTTTAGAACGAAGACATCACTATCTGGGGGCTTGGCAGATTCAGAAGCGGAACCCAACAGTGCTGCTTCACACTGGATTCCTCCCTTGCCTCTTAGCGGAGAAACACTGGGAGGCCTCCATTCGGCATTTCTCTAGGAGGGAAGGCTGGGTTGGGATTATTCTTCTCATTGTTGCAAGTGATCTAAACAATAATCATTATTCATAATAAATGAATGAAACTAATGATGCAACCTCTGGTAATATGTTGTTAAAGCCACCCACTAAAAATGGGTTTGGGGGCTGGAGAGATGGCTCAGTGGTTAAGAAGATGAATTGCCCTCACAGTGGCCCCAAGTTATCTTCCCAGCACCCATACCAGGCAGCTTATAATCACTAAAAACACTGGGTCCAGGGGATCTGAATCCCTTTTCTGGACTTACTGACTTGTTGCACTCACATGCACACATACCCGTGCACAAACACACAGACGCACATGATTAAAGAAACGGGCTTGACCTGGGATGTCCAAAGAATGATTGTCTTTTAAATTTTTCTTTTGGTAAAAGCTTCTATAGCATAATTGGACATTCATCTAATTCATTACCATACTGAAAAGCAAGGAGCATGATTTCATTTCTGCTTGAGGTAGGAAGACTTGGAACTGACAGCTGTATCTATTCTGAGCATACAAATCTGGTAGATTTGAGAGACCTTAGAATATTTTCCTGAAACAAAAGAGTAAGTTTTAGTCACATACAGTTACTAGCCCATATATATA